TGGCCCCGGCCGGGCGGGCAGGGGGTGTTGGCTCCGGCCAGGGTGGGCAGGGGGTGTTCTCCCTGCTGCGGAGGGGTAGAAAGCGTCCGTCTGCTCAGCTCTCGGCCTGGCAGTTCTGCTGATCCACCGCAGCTTCGGTGCAGGCGAGAAGAACCAAGGTCAGTGAATTAGATGAGTCAGGGTGGTTCTTAAAATGAGGTTTGGACCCTTTCTGAACCAGGCAGCGGGTAATAATACCTGAAAAATGTTGGTCCAAGAAATAAGCTGCTTCTGACTTACCAAGGGAGCAGATCAAGTACCATTTTTCAACTTATTAAGGTAGAATGAAGTTCTGTGCAGAAAGGCTGGGGAGTTGGGGGGTTCAGCCTGGAGAAGAGAAGGCTCTGGGGAGACCTTAGAGCCCCTTCCAGTGCCTGGGGGGGTACAAGGAAGCTGGGGGGGACTTTTTCCAAGGGCAGGGAGTGACAGGACAAGGGGTAACGGGTTTAAAGTTAAAGAGGGAGATTGAGATTGGACATCAGGAAGGAATTCTTCCTGCAGAGGGTGGGAGCACTGGGACAGGTTGCCCAGAGAAGCTGTGGATGCCCCATCCCTGGGAGTGTCCAAGGCCAGGCTGGATGAGGCTTGGAGCAACCTGGGCTATGGAAGGTGTCCCTGCCCATGGCAGGGGGTGGGATTGGGTGGGCTTTAAGGTCCTTTCCCACCCAAACCATTCCATGATAGAATACAGCGGCTGAAACAAACGTTGAGCTGTCAGTCATCTGCGGAATTATGAAGTGGTTAATATTTAAATAGGAACTTATTTTCCCAGTGTTTCTCAGGCCTATGGCTTTCAAGTTCATCTTTAACGTGATAGCTTTGGGACAGGAGAGTGGACTGACCTGGCAGTGATTTAAGATTTAGGTATTTGCTTTATTCACAGGAAGAGTGTTGCCCAAGGTACCGGGGTGGTTTGCAGACTTTTTCAAGAGTAAGTGGAACATGCAGGCATCCCCAGGCGGAAACTGGCAGGGAGGCTGGAGTTAATAAACAGCAGCTCTCCGTTTTAATGAATTAATGGGTTTCCTTCTCAAAACTTGAAGATTCCTCGTATTCCTGGCAAATCTGCAGGAGGAATACAGGGGCTTTTTTTTTTTTTTTTTTTGCAAAGGAATTAGCTAGTTGTTTATTAACTTGTCCGGTAAAAACACTCCTCTGTACCTTGGTACTAGAGCTTGAGGCTTGCACTGAAGGAACCATCGGAGGACAACTTTGAGGAAAGCTGCTCTCTGGTTTGGGGAGGAGGAGCACTGTGCGAAGGTCATACTTCTGCAGGGAAGGTGAACGGATCTGCATATTCTGTTAGGCCGTGCGCTTTCAGTGAGCAGCTCGTCAGGAGAAGCGTGTCTGGCCTTTGGCAGTAGCAGGCACTGCAGCCTTCTACCACCGTTAAGGACCGAGGACTGTTTTGCTGACCATCTGCCTCTGATTTATCAATCCAGAAGGATCTCAGATGGTTATAACACTGAGTGGGGTCTGCTCTGCACCCTGTTAGTAAAGCTTTTCCTCCCTTTTAGAAGACTTCAGAAATTCTCTCTCCTCTTTCCTTGCTCATACTGTCAGGAGAAGCTGACCTCTGCTAAAACGTGTGGCTGAAAGCCAGGAGCTTACAATTCCTGACCTGCCACGTGAGAAGCAAAAGCACTTCGGTATGGGCAAAGCATTAACTGACTCCCCAGCACCCGTGTGTTTCTGATTCCGGATCCTTAAGATCAGTGGGTAGTAGAGTCTGCGCGAGCGTGTTTGAAGTGCGAGGGGTTGGTATGGCCTTTGGCCATTTTTCTTCATTCCTGTCCTTGTGAATATGGTAAGAATGAGGTGGGAAAAGGGAGGCGTTAATTTTTCTAGGGTGTTTTGGCCAGCTGGTCGATGGTGGTGTCACCATAAATGGATAATCAGCGAAGCATCGAATGTGCTTGGTATTGATTTTGCTTCTGAAGAGCGGAGGGTCTTGCTTTGCCACTGCAAAGGAGCAACAACAGATGAAGTGTTAGGAGTGCTTGGCTTAAGGGTTTTTATGATTCAGTTGCTTTGATGAAATGGGCATTGTGTAAATAAAAGCATTACACCCAGAGAAGGATAAAGAGGTGTCCAGCTGCAGACGACACCGTGTGAAAGCCGTACTGCTGCTGGCCGGAGGCGGCCCGGCATTTCTCCGTTTGCTGGATTAGTGAGGCAGCTTGGATGAGAACAGCACCATGCTTTTCTTCAGGAGATGGCTCTAATTTTCATTTCAGCTGGCTTTGCTGGAGTTGGCCTTCTGGGCACAGGGGAATCCTGAGTGTCCGGGTGTAAGGTAAAAGTATGGAGCCAGGAAGCTCCGGAGTTGTGCCTTTAAAAAGAGTCAGTGGATCCATGTCTTAACTTGTTTCCCATAGTGAGTTTATTACAGCTCTTCGCTCAAGGGTTCTGAAGATGACGACAGGCTGTTGTTAGCCAACAGGAGAAACACAAATCAGTGAGTAGTGAAGTAGCAGACACCTAGCAGGACATTTTTAGGAGGCTGTTGCAATAGCAGAAAGTGAGATTCTGTGATTGAAATCAGTTGAATACCAACCCAGGAGACGACCCAGCAGTGCTGTCTGTGGCTGAGCCAGCATTTGTGCCAGGTAGAAGGAGAGCTTGCGGGACGTTGAGGTCCGTGACGAGTCCTGGAGTGCCACATGCTTCACTGCTGCTCCCTGCTCCGCTGTCACCTTCCTGTTGTTGCGGGGACGTGCTCATGGCCCAACAGCAGAGTTGTGTTACGCCGTGTCCCGGGAACACAGGGTTAGCCATCCCTTTCGCCACCTGCTCGCCCTACCAGCATTCCAGTTTCGGTCTCCACAGCCCTTTTTCCTTACAAAGTCCAAGGATCACAGCTAAGCCACTTGCTCTTTTCCAGGCAGCGGTAGTTCCCTAGCTGTAGCTGCAGAAAGCCGGTGCCTCCAGGCACAGGTACCGTTCTGCAGGACAGCTCAGGGGAAAAGTTTCCTTTTCCTTCTCTCACAAGTCCTTTGGGACATTTGTCCCTTCCCCTCCACACCAACTGTGTGCAGGCTTTTGGTTTTTCTAGTAAAGTGCGCAGGTCGACGTTCCTTGGCTCCCTTTTGCCTCATTCGCTGCGGGGTGTGTTGCCTGTCCCAGCACAGATCAGTGGGGTTGGCTGGGTTAGGATGTCGATACTCAGTCCTTTTATTTTTAACTTCCAGGTTGCAGCAGCCAGCGGCCACACTGTGGTGTTGGTAGACCAGTCGGATGAAATCCTTAAGAAGTCGACAAAAGGAATTGAAGAGAGCTTGAAGAGAGTGACAAAGAAGAAGTTTGCGGATAAGCCTGAGGTTGATATCATCTTCCTTATTCGTCTAGGAAAGCTTAGGGGAACAAAAGCTCCCATGCTGAAGTTCTGACACTGTTTACAGTTGTGCATTATAGGGAATGTTAATGTGATTATTCCTTCTTAAAAAGAAAACTTTTTCCACTGTGCTGAAGAACTTGGGTTTTCTTCTGTTGATCCAGGGTAGTTCAAAGATGTCTTAACTTGTTTTCTTTCCTTTGTAGACTTCAGCCTTGAGATAAGGATTTACACCAACTTGGTGACCTTTTAAAACAGATGCTAAATGTGAAATGGGGCCAGATTATTTGTCCTGGCTTAATAGCAAACTACCTGGGAATGCACCATCTTTGTCCAAAAGCAAATAGTAACAAAATGGTCTTAATACCTTAGAATCATAGAATGGTTTGGGTTGGAAGGGACCTTAAAGACCATCTAGTTCCACCCCCTGCCATGGGGAGGGACACCTTCCATAGCCCAGGTTGCTCCAAGCCTCATCCAGCCTGGCTTTGGACACTTCCAGGGATGGGCATCCACAGCTTCTCTGGGAACCTGTCCCAGTGCTCCCACCCTCTGCGGGAAGAATTCCTTCCTGATATCTAATCTAAACCTCCCCGCTTTCAATTTAAACCCGTTACCCCTTGTCCTGTCACTCCCTGCCCTTGTAAAAAGTCCCCCCCAGCTTCCTTGTAGCCCCCCAGGCACTGGAAGGTGCAATAAGGTCTCCCCAGAGCCCTCTCTTCTCCAGGCTGAAGCCCCCAACTCTCCCAGCCTGTCCCCATGGCAGAGGGGCTCCAGCCCTCGGAGCATCTCCGGGGCCTCCTCTGGACTCGCTCCAACCGGTCTGTATCCTTCTGCTGTTGGGGGCTCCACAGCTGGACGCAGCACTCCAGGGGGGTCTCCCCAGAGCAGAGCAGAGGGGTAGGGACTAGTAGACTCCTTAGTACGGAGTCTTCCTCCCCGCGACTTGGGCACAGGATTTCTGTGAAGGAAGTGAGAGTTTAACTGCCCTGGAGTAACAGGAATTCGATGTATTAGATACTTTGCGTTTACATTGTGCAGTGAGACTCACACACAGCAGGTCACTGTGGGGCAGTTGATGGCATCTAAATTTACATCCTAAGGGTTATCTGTGGCTATGCTTGTTTCCCTGAATTCCACGACAGATTCAGTTCTTTTGATACATATTAACATATATCTGCTGGCATTGATTACCAGCGTGAACGATGCAGCATGCAACGGGAACGACAAAGGACCTGTTTGCATGTGGGAGCTCTAAGAAAAACTGTAGTAACGCCAGGGTAACCAGAGCATCCGTGCATAATTACGGGGAGCCTTTGATCCAAGAGAATACTGTCCATGTTATGTTTGTAGTGCATATGAGATGTTACATCGTGGCACGCAGGTGTGTTTTCACTTGTACCACGTCTTGCCCTTGGTTCGAAGTCTCGCAGTTTGCTCTCTGTCCTCGCAGACTGTTGGTGATCGGCGGGTTTACTAGTCAGAAAACAGAGTGGTTTCCCCCACACTCGCACTGAAACTGTAGTGAGTGTCAGCCCTTTAGCTTCCTGAAGTGTTCATGAGCTAGCACTTCCCTGTTCGTAGGAGCGAAAGCAGGTAATCACTGAATGAAAACAGCGCAGAGGTCTGAAACGGGAAACGTTCCTCTTCGTGGGTGGCCGGTCCAGGTTGGCTCAGAAACTACTGATTGACCAACCACTCGTTCACTCAGATTGTTATGTTATGACTGCAGCAAGTAGTTTTCCTAAAAGAAGGAATTCAGAGGTCTCCCACTGGCTTCCGAGCAGATTTGATTGGCTAGGAAGCTTTTGTCCATGAAAGCATCTGCACACGCTTCGAACTTTCATTTGGCAGTGTGGCAGACTGCCTGGATTTTTGAGAGCTCCAAAACCCTGCGGAGCATACGGGGGTTCTTCACGTAAAAATGAATGAAATCGTTGTAAACAGACGTTGCATCTTCTTGGAAATGTTTCAGGCTGGCGCCGAGTTCATCGAGAAGACCTTAAAGAACATCACAACGAGCACAGATGCCGTAGCGGTGGTCCACAGCACGGATCTGGTGATAGAAGCCATCGTGGAGAACCAGGAAGTTAAAAATGAACTCTTCAAGAGGCTGGATAAGTTTGCTCCAGAGTATGTGTGTTTTTTCTGTTACGTTTCAAAACTTAGACTTTCGTTAGCTTCTGGTTTTGCTGTTACGCCGTTAGTTCTGCATTTCTTAGCTGCTTCTTTTAAACAGGAGTTTTCTCCCTCAGTCAGCCTCCAGCCTGGCCTGTGGCCTGGAATAGTCGTTGTGCCAGGTGCGTGTGACAAATGCATTGAGGTTTAGTTGCGTTGCTTCATTTGATGTGCTGCTGGGTAGGTTTTCGTCACAAAGTTTCTCCACCTACTCAGTAAGGTCCAGTCTAAATCCCAGTGCAAATGCACAACAGCCGAGTCAGCTTGTCCTGGTACACGTGGGCTGTGGTTAGCGGACGTGTTCCCGTATTTAAAGGGAATTGGGATGATAAAGCATTTGCTTTCAGCGTGCCTGGCATGGACAAGTTTTAAGAAGTCTCAGGCTCGTAGATCTAAGTCACAGCTCAACAGGGGCTGACGTGAGCTGAGTTACTTTGTGTTACAGGAGTTGGGAAGTGGCTGGTGGCTGGTTGTGGTGTGTGAGGCAGGAGGGTCCGTAGTTCCCTAGCACGCACTCACGCAGTTACTTACAGTCCCTGGAGCTTTCTTTGAACTATATCTGATAACTGTTGGACGTTGCAGTTGAATTGTATCCAACCCCAAAAACGCTGCTAAGCGGAACGGGCAGTCTCCGACGCTTGATCCGTGTAACGGATGACTCAGGATCTCAAGACCCTGACTGCTCGCAGGTTGAGGTTTTAACTAGTACGGCTAAAGCTGGGGGCACGGGCCAAGACTGACTGAAGAACTAGGCAAGCTGGGGCTCGAATATCGTGTCGAGGGAGAAGAGGTGTTGTCATGAGCTGAGTTCAGCCTGGGGAGATTTTCAGGCTGTCTCGTCTGGCCGGTAATCAGAATTACCAGGGACTTGTGAGACAGTGAACGATCACACACGGCCCAGCGTTGCTTGCCGCTACCCTCCCTCTGACAGACAAGAGTCAGTAGCTGCCTTCAGCAGTTATCAGGGTACCTTGTTGTGATTAGATTATGCTTATTTGTGAAAACAGACCATTGGTTGCCGGAGTGTTTGTCCACGTTCAGCAGAGAACGCTAATGAGCAATTAGCATGTACTAAACGGCAGGCAGTCAGCAAGGAAAAGTGGGCACAGGGACTCAGAGCCGCGTTTACTAATGTGTGTATGTGAACACCCGAGGCTGTTTTTTGTACAGCTGAGCTCTTCATCAGCACAGCTGCCTCGGAACATCCAGTGGTACGTTACAGAGTGTTAAAAGATACTGGGAGGTGTTCAGATGTGCTCCTTCCTGTGACAAAAGGCGTGATTTCGCAGGGTTGGGGAAAGTGACATTAGACAAGAAGCCTGCCTTTTTAAGAGAAGAGTTGGAAATGGTAAACATATGGATATCTTACAGTAGGATCAAGAAAAAGGAGGTGAATGGTGAAGAACATGGGTTGCAGTGTAGAAAGTGTCGATGAAAAGAAAGGAAACCTAGTAAAATAGTGAAACTTAGCTAGTCTTGTAAACACTCGGCTGTGGGATACAAAGGGTAATTTGTGGTTGTGTCAGGAGTAGGGTGTTGCAGACCCTGCGAGTAGCATGGGGAAAGGCAGAAGTGTCTAGCGAGCGTTTTTCTGCACATTAGAAGGAAGCAGTAGGCATTGTTCATCCCACGTGACACTGGAGGGGGGGTGTGGAAAGCTCTCGCTGGCAGCGCAGGTGTCCTACAGCCTTCGCCCAGATTCACCCTTCCAGCATTTCTAAAGCTGTTGTATGGACTAACTCTTGCGTCAGGTTAACGGGGGTGGTGGTTGACCGGTGATGAAGGTTTGCTTAAAGACAGCTTTGAGTCTCCGGAGAAGCTTTGCTTCCTTGGGGCCCTGGGTGCTGACAGCACTGTGAAGTGAGTTACAGGCAGAGACCATGAGCAATGGGCTTCTGGGAGGGGAGAAATCATAGAACCACAGAATGGTTTGGGTTGGAAGGGACCTTTCAGCCCATTCAGTCCCACCCCCTGCCACGGGCAGGGACACCTTCCACCAGACCAGGTTGCTCCAAGCCTCATCCTGGCCTTGGACACTTCCAGGGATGGGGCATCCCCAGCTTCTCTGGGCATCATGTCCCAGGGCCTCCACTGGTGGAGGGTGTTTTTATCCCCAGATGTTGTGTTTTGATGCCGCAGTGAGATGTCCTCATGGCTTGGATGTGACTTCTCTGAAAGCTCTGTTCTGAAGCTCAGGTGTATCTCAGTGGGGTGTCAGCAAAATACCAGTGTGGCTGAACATCTGATGAGGCCAATGGGATAACTTTTCCAAGGGTCAGTAGGATATGGCCCAGAACGGGGTAGGTTTTCACCTCTAATTTAGTTTAGTTGATTTTTGTGGTTTGAAGAAAAAGCCATTTCTGTAAGTTTTCAGTGTGATGTCAGTGTAGCAGGGCTGTTGAGGTGTTGAGATATTTCTGGTAGGGAAAAAAAATACCCAAACCTTTATGAATTGCAGTTAGTAATGGTTTATGTCTGGAAAAAGACTTCATATATGCTTTAAAATTCTCGTGATTTTGTATCTCCTTTGCAGTGTCCTTATTTTCTACTTAATAGTCTTTTTTTTCTATCCCCAAATACAAGTATGCAACATACTTGGGGGGTCAGAAACCTGCACAGCCCTTCCAGTGGTTATTTTATCACTTACAGCTCAGCAAAAGGGGTGGGATACACCTCAGGAAAAGGAGCAGGGATATTTGTGAGCATCCTGTGGATGGTTAGGCAGTGGATCTGTCTGTTCAGTACACCAGTCTTGGAAAACTTGCCGTTATTTATGCAATCCACGTGTTTCTTTTTTCCAGGCACACAATATTTGCAAGCAACACTTCGTCCTTGCAAATCACGGGGTTGGCTAACTCAACTACCAGGCAGGACCGATTCGGTGGTCTCCATTTCTTCAATCCTGTGCCTATGATGAAGCTTGTGGAGGTAGGTGTCTTGGGAGGTCACTGTAACCACCGCTGCGGCACAGCAATGCAGTCCTCATCACCCAGAATTCAGATCAGAGAGGGGGTCTCAGTTTGCAGCTCTGCTGGTATGGAATAAGCTGCCTCTCGTGATAGGAGGGTGGTGCAGTCTCCTTTTAGGGGCAGGTTGAAGGGACAGAGGTAACTCCTTCAGTCTCGAGGCTCCAAAGTTCCCCACTGAATTTCCCAGCAGTGGTGCTGTGTACCGGGATCGTTTCAGGCAGGCAGGCCAGCTGAGCGATCCTGCTGGCAGCATAAAGAAAACCAGCCCATGACAGACGGGGGAATTTGATTGTTACCATAGAATCACACAATCCCAGTGTGGTTTGGGTGGGAAGGGACCTCAAAGCCCACCCACTGCCACCCCCTGCCATGGGCAGGGACACCTTCCCCTGGCCCACATTGCCCCAAGCCTCATCCAGCCTGGCCTTGGACACTCCCGGGGATGGGGCATCCACAGCTTCTCTGGGCAACTTGTCCCAGTGCTCCCCACCCTCTGCGGGAAGAATTCCTGCCTGATGTCCCATCTCCATTTCCCTCTTTCCGTTTAAACCCGTTACCCCTTGTCCTGTCACTCCCTGCCCTTGAGAAAAGTCCCCCCCAGCTTCCTTGTCGGCCCCTTCAGGCACTGGAAATCGATAGGAAATGGGGTGAGATGAAATCTCACTGCCTTGTGACTTGTGAAACACAGTCAGTCATGTTTGATTCGATGTTCCAGATAGTTTGTCAGGAAGCATTACAGTATTTCCCAGCCTTAAAGGAAGTGTAAATGGAAATTTTTATGTAACTCTCTGGATGTATTTTCTAATCATACTGTCTTTGGCTACATCATGCAATTGCTAATGATAACTGCAGTGCAGAGCAGAATAACAAATTTAATAATATGAGTTAATTTAATTTCATTAATTTAATAAGAGTGTATCTGAGCCTCCAAAGTAAAGGTCACATTGCAGAAAAAATGACAGGTCTCTCTTCTCCTCTTTCTCACCTTCCCCTCCTTATGGCTGGCCTTGATCAGCTGGAACTTCCAGGGTTGCCCCATCCCTGGGAATGTCCAAGGCCAGGCTGGATGAGGCTTGGAGCAACCTGGGCTATGGAAGGTGTCCCTGCCCATGGCAGGGGGTGGCACTGGGGGGGCTTTGAGGTCCCTTCCAGCCCAAACCATTCTGGGATGCGATGAACTTGCAAACTGAAGTGAAAATAAACTTTGCATTTCGGCCACTCTTCCCTAAAGTTTCACATACTTTTTGCCCTTAAATGCTGCAGATCTTTTTCCTCTGCCCCACGAGTGATCTGTTGTAGAATTGCTTTGGTGACGAGCGCTTCAGATGTTGTGCCTGCCTTTTGAACTCCTGAGGTTCACTTTATTGTGCTTGTTTCTTGTTTCCCATTAACATCCACTGCCTGTGCTGTGTCCCTGAATGTGTCATTCTCCCTCCTTTTGCAATGTTTGTCCTTTTGGCTGAAAGGAACAAGTTTGAGTCCGAGTATGGTGGTCTGATGAGGGCTCAGCCATTGGCAAATTCTCTCTCACTGATTTCTGTACCCATGTGGATTTAGTTTAATAGAGTCCTGTATAGTGTGGCTGAAGGGTCTGGGGAAATGTTGTAAGAAAGAAATTCGTAGGAATTTTGTAGGTGTTGAAGAGAATCTTCCACAGAAGATTTCAACAGAAAATCTTTAGCATAAAGGCGGAAATCTTTGGCATAATTCCTTGGGCTAACGTAGGCTTTGCTAACGTAACTGCTTGCTGGCAGTAATCTGTTTATGTGGATGAAGAGTCCTGTGCCTCGTCTCGAGTCTAAACCAAATCATAGGCTTTAGAAGTCTAAACAAAGTGAGATTTGAAAAATACAGGCAGTAACCCATCGTCATTTGTAAAACCCAAACCGGAGCAGTCCCTGTCTGACTGCTGGGGTCAGCCTTGATAATCTGGAGGGTTTTTTACCTGAATTACAAATGCCCTACCCCAGGCTGACTCGAGCTGATGAACTTCAGAACGCAGAAGCTGTGCTTTCAGGGACTTGATCTTGAAAGGCACCAATATTAGTGAAGTAAAACTTTCCAAGGCTTTGCTTTTGCTTCGGACCTGCTGCAGTAAATCAGGCTTGGCCTGGGCAAACACTGCGGAACAGCATTTTCGATGTAAACCCCATGTTTCCTTTTGAAATAAATGGGGGAGAACCCAAGAGAATCACCAAAACTTTGCAAGATATTCCTGAGACGGCCTGTCGTGGAAGCTGTCCTTGGTGGGCCCGAACCTGCGGTGCCTTTGAGACCTGCTTTTCACAGACTGCTGCTTTCCCGCTCAGAAGCGCAGAGCTTGGAGGGGGTTTATTTCTCTAATAATCCAAAAGGCTAGTGCTAATGGTTCAGAATTCTGACGTGTATAGTAAAAACTTGAAGCCTGCAGTCTTATGTAATTCTCTGATGTTTTAATTGATAGCAAGTAAAGGAACACTGTTTTTTTTCTGTCTTTTCCTCAGCCCTAACAGCGCTTTTTGTGGTGGCCTTACATCGGGCATGAGGGCGAGGGGAAACCTCTGTGTGATTTAACTGTGTGAAGAAGGAGGTCAGCCTCAGCGGGTTTCCGGTTATGGCACGCGGAGGTCAGGATCAGCCCAGTTGTCACCACCCGTTCAGCTTCGGCAGCTCTTTCGTTTCCTTTTTTTTCAGGGCAGGGAGGGGAGTAGGTCTCTAACAAACGACTTAATGCATCCCCACTCCAGTGAAGTGTAGGAAAAACTACGTATAACTCGCCCGTGAAGAAAATGGACGTGGAAACATGCTACTCGGAAGCTAAGGGGGTGTCCCCAGTCGGAAAGACAGACAGATTTTACGTTTTCTTTAGGATTAAATGCCTGGTCGTGATTAGACTGGGCACAGGGGAGAGGTCACAGCCCTTTGTATTGGGAGCGGTGTCTCTGAATGTGGTTCCTAGAGTGATGCCAGCATGTTTCCCGGGGCAACAGAGACTGTAGAGCTTTTAAAGTTGTTCCTTGTGCTGTAATCTTTAAATGTGATTCCAAAGGATGCCCCCTTTTTCCATCCGTAGCGGCTGCGTGGAAAAGTCTTAAAGAAACGCTTAATTTCAAACATGTAAAATGCCCCATCTGTCTTTAAAATAGGTTTCTGTGTCTGTTACCTATCCACTGGAATCATTTCTTGCAAACCAAATGCTTTGTGAATTTCTGGAATAGTGTTCTGGATCACGGTTGAATCGTTGCTGTCCTGGGAAATGAGTGGGATTCTGCTCATAAATGTGCTTCTGCTCTCCCTGCCTTCCCTCTGCCCAGGTCATCAAGACACCAATGACCAGCCAGAAGACTTTTGAATCGCTTGTGGATTTCAGTAAAGCAGTAGGAAAGAGCCCTGTCAGCTGTAAGGTGGGTACGTGCTGGTCTTCCCAGGCTCAGAAAGTCCGCTCTTGAAAACTCTTCATTTTCAGGAGGTAGGTTTCAGTAGGTGTAAGAGCACTTCAGGAATTTCCAGGCTGCTTTTCGTCCAGTTTCTCTTCCCTGCTAGAAGCATTCTGACAGAACACCCACACTTACCACAGGTTCCCCAGACTTGTTGTCTAGAGCAGCCAGACTGGGAAGAATCAGGCTTTACAGTTCTGGGTTTTTCTATTCCAATCCTGCAGAAGTTTGGACTGGAGAGCTTCGGCAGGAGCTCATCTTTAGCCGTGCTAGAGACCGGACTGCCCCCTCTTGTCCTGTGAGGGAGGTGGATGAATCCTCCGTGGCGTGTGCTCACTGCAGGTTTCCCTCGAGCCTGCAGCAGCCGGGGCCGTAGTCGGCTGCATTGCTCCGCAGCGCCGGGGTTTTTCTCTGGATAAACACCCTACTTCCTAAGCACACTTCCGAATCCGTTGTGGTCTGGGGAGCTTTATGCTCTCACCTGGAGTTTCACAGCCCCCAGGAGACGTTTGGTCACGAAAAGAAGGGCCTGCGTTGCAGTAGTTGACAGTAATTCAGGATCTGGATGCTGGACCCCGATTCTGGCTCTACTGCTAAAGCACTCTGTGGCCTTAGTTGACTTTTTTCCCGGTTCCTGTGCAGAATGTGTGATGCATTATGGTTATAAATGGGCTTGGGTAGAGGCTAATGCAGCCTCCACATCTGAACCTTTCTTTTTCTGTCTAATTTGGTTTTTAAATTCCTGTTTGTGGTAGAAAAGTTGCTTGGAATCCTCTGGGTTAAATACTGAGATAAAATAGAACAAACAGTAAGCGTCTGAAACAGTAGTAGCATATGAAATAATGCTGTTTGCAAAGCTCTTTCTCTTTCGGCTTGGGTAGAGGCTAATGCAGCCTCCACATCTGAACCTTTCTTTTTCTGTCTAATTTGGTTTTTAAATTCCTGTTTGTGGTAGAAAAGTTGCTTGGAATCCTCTGGGTTAAATACTGAGATAAAATAGAACAAACAGTAAGCGTCTGAAACAGTAGTAGCATATGAAATAATGCTGTTTGCAAAGCTCTTTCTCTTTCCAGAAGCTTGTGTACAAGAGGTTCTGTTTCAGTTTGTTCTGCTGACAGCCCGTATCCTGTCTCGTCACCGACTGCTGTTGGGCTGATCCTGGCTTTCAGAAGCGTGGGTTACCAGTGGGCGGTGGGGGAGGCTGTTTGGCCGGGAGTGGTTCTAGTAGTGAGCACCCTAAGAAAGGTGTTAGGGAAGAGCTGCTCTTCCATCCCTCAGGAAAGCGCACCGGCAGAGTTTTGCTGAAGAAAAGGCGTTTGCCAACCGGCCGCCTTAAATTGTTTTAAGATCAATGGAGTTGGGCGTGTAGTGGTCTTACTCTTCTCAGTCACGGTGCACGTCCAGGTGCCATCCCTTGTTTGTGAAATCCGTCTTCTGTGCTTTGATACGGAGCAGATGAATTGGATGAAAAATACCGTTTGGAGAGCATCAGATGCTGATGTTTCAATAAGTGTCTTCATGCACTTGTTTAACGTCTGTAGTGTTTGAGTGTAATACTGGTAAAGAACCTTCAGAATCCCTTTTTTTCTCTCCATAGGACACTCCGGGGTTCATTGTAAACCGTCTCCTGGTGCCTTATATGATGGAAGCGGTTCGACTTTTTGAGAGAGGTACTTGTTGGGGTGTTGCCTTCAGGGGGTGTTGACATGTAACACTGCTAAATGTTATATCCCTTTGGAAAAGCATTGGGATTCCCTCCAGACTTTCAGACCTTAAAGGCTGGAAGTGCACAGTGAACATAAATATGAGCCAGCATGTAGCTGCAAAGAGCTTGTCTTCGCTTTGAAATGCCAGCCTGTGCCAGGTTGGAGGGCACTGGCTACTGGTGTGGGAAGTGTCTGGTGGTGGAAAACGTTTCTGGTTTGGAGGTGACAAGCTGAGTGTAGTGCCGTTGTGAAATATCCTCGGGAACCTCCCTGTCTCCATCCCAAGAGGCGTTAATGGAAATGGTTGAAAATCCCACAGTGGGGCCCTTAGCAGAGTTTCCTGAGTTGGGTTATACTGGGGTTGTGGAACAAAGCCCGGGTTCCAGGTGAGGTGAGGTGTGCCGCGCTCAGCGTCACGCTGTGATGCTGGCATACAGGTGATTCGGGCTCAACCAGTGCCCCATAAAACCTCCTGCTCCTCTTCTGTGTCCTTCTGTAGACACAGGTTCTTCAGGAGCTCCCCCCTCGCCGCTGGTCTCGTCTGCGTTAATATCGAGGGTGGGTAGAAATAATCACAAAACCCCAGAGAATCACTGAATTTTTCCAAGAGTTGATAATTGTTTTGAAAATGTAGTGGATAAAGAGGAAATCACGGAGTATAATTGCTTTTATTTCAAGTGCTCCGCTCGTAGCTCCGCGCTGCTGAAGGTGTCATTTGAAACATTTTGTTTATGAAATCACTGCTCTTTTACAGATGAAAGCACTCCATTATCAGGGTTCCACCAAATATGCTTTAAATATTAAAAATCTCTCTTCTAGCACAGGGAAGGGGTGGTTTGATCTCCAGGGAAAAAAAAAAATAGAAACCAACACTGGTTGTTTATCCATCAACAAATGTACCTAATTACATCTCAGAGGCAGAAAAGGGCAAACTGAGTGCCCTGAAAGGCAAAGTCGTGGATGGAGGGGGCATTCTTCCTTGGGAAAAAGGCAGGATTCTAACTGAGGCGGCTGGCTGTGTAAAAGAGGCTCCTCTGTTAAGGACACGTGTCGTGCGTACTTCAGGAGACAGTAGGACTTGTAATTAGGTGTAGCAAACAGTCACTGAGATGGTGTGTTCAAGCTGGCTCTCTTCTGCCTAAGCAAAGCAACAGGCTGGTTGAATCTCAGCTCTGTTTGTATTTTGTTCAACAGTGTGATATTTCCAAACTTGCTGAAGTTCATTGATGAATTTTTAACTCCGATGAGATCTATTGGAAAGGCTGGGTGATGTTTTGAGGAGCCTGATGGCTGTCTTTGGATTCCTATTTGCCACTGACTCCAGTTAAATTTTTATCATACCCTGTGCACTCATTTGCAGAGTCGACACGATTGTCACCCACAGTAGGATGAAACTGGGTCTCTCCCATGGCAGCCCCGAGCACTGAAACACCATTTTACTGGGTCAGTCCTGGAGTCCTTATTGATACAGAATCTCCTTGGGCTGAACGTGCACTTCTGCTTAGGCAAAACACCTGTAATCATAGAATCCCAGAGTGGTTTGGGTTGGAGGGGACCTTAAGGCCCCCCCAGTGCCCCTGCCATGGGCAGGGACACCTTCCATAGCCCAGATTGCTCCAAGCCTCATCCAGCCTGGCCTTGGACACTCCCAGGGATGGGGCATCCACAGCTTCTCTGGGAACCTGTCCCAGTGCTCCCACCCTCTGCGGGAAGAATTCCTTCCTGATATCTAATCTAAACCTCCCCACTTTCAATTTAAACCCGTTACCCCTTGTCCTGTCACTCCCTGCCCTTGGAAAAAGTCCCCCCCAGCTTCCTTGTAGCCCCCCCAGGCACTGGAAGGGGCTCTAAGGTCTCCCCGGAGCTTCCCTTCTCCAGGCTGAGCCCCCCAACTTTCCCAGCCTGTCCCCATGGCAGAGGTGCTCCAGCCCTCGGAGCATCTCCGGGGCCTCCTCTGGACTCGCTCCAACTGGTCTGTATCCTTCTGATGTTGGGGGCTCCACAGCTGGACGCAGCACTCCAGGGGGGTCTCCCCAGAGCAGAGCAGAGGGGAGAATCCCCTCCCTCGCCCCCCTGGCCACACTTCTCCTGATCCAGCCCAGGATCCGGTTGGCTTTCTGGGCTGCCAGCGCACATATTACTGTTTGCATATTAACAGTGATTTAAACAGGGGGTGTATTCTAAGTAGTAATGTGGGGTGCTTTGTACTGCCCTTTTCTTGGTGAAAAACCAAACCCAGCAGTCAGTGAGGTTCCAGTGGGGGTACAACCCTTGCTTGCCCTTTTACTGATTTTAATGGTACTGTAACAGACAGCTGTGTGCTGTCTGGGGGCCAAGTCCAGGTTTGACAGACAAATCTGTTGATAAAAGAGGCAGGGACATCTGCAGCGGCTTCAGGAGTTGAGGATTTACGTGTGTTTGAGTTTGAGGAGTGGGAGTCATGTTAGATTTAAGTAAGGCTCATTTTCTCAGTTTCTCAGAAATAAAATGTCATTTTAAAAGGAACCCAAATTGTCAGCTTTAAAGAGTAAAAGGAGATATATAAAAATTACTACCTCCTACAGCACTTCTGCTGAAAGTGTTGCCTTTACAAGAGATTTTGAGCGTTTATGTCTAGGATTCTCTGATCTTAGGCGTATAAATGGTATGCACCTAGGCTTTCGGACACCCGGAGTGCCTGCCTCGTCCGTCAGCCGGACATCACTTGCCCCTGGCTGTTGGGGAGCGAGGGTACCTCTGTCCTGCACATCATTCAGCACCTGCTGCCGAGCTCACCGCGCCGATCCGGAGATCTTCCCTCGGCTTCCCCGATGGCTGCCTCTGCAAGCAGCTCTGAATTCCTGCCAGCCGCCCGCTCTGCCGCTGGTCTTTGGCAGGTCGGGCACGGGAGCTGGGGCTCCATCAATGGCGCAGCAATCGATACGGAAATGCAGGAGGAAGCTAGAAAAATGGAAATCAGGCCTGAAGGCCGCCTGTTTTCCTGCTTGTGAGAAATTCTGCTTTATGCTCCAGCGTGGATATGCTGACTCCAGTTTTTGTGGTTCTGAAAAGCGCGGAGGTGTCTGTGCGGTGCCGCGCCGGGGTGAAATAACACCCTGTTCATTATTTATAAGTGGTGCCAAGGAGATGCGGAATCTTCTCTGTTCATCAAACTGTCAATCTTTTCTGTAGGAGATGCATCAAAGGAAGATATTGATGTTGCTATGAAGCTGGGGGCTGGCTATCCCATGGGTCCGTTTGAACTGCTGGACTACGTCGGGCTGGATACCAGCAAATACATTATAGATGGTACCGTGTGCTGCTTTGTTTCTCTTTTCCCCCTTTTTAACTAAACTGCGGATGAATGTGGTGATGAAAATCAAACTTGGTTAGTCTGAATGGAATGTTTATGGCGTAGCCTTTCAGCCGTTGAGGAGAAAGGGGTGAGAATTCAGCTGGGAATGCTGCACTTGTGCGACACGGCTCTGCCCTGTGTACCTGGGGACAGAATGGTGGCTTTGCTGACTTCATCAAGTGCCAGTGGCAAATAATAATAATATTGGTGGAACTTTATATAGCTAAAAAGAATCAGTGGGAAGAGAGGTAAGAAATTCTGCTGAAAAGCAGCAAATATTGAGACTCCCTAGCCTTTTTCTGCCGGCCGTGTTTTCATCCCCAATTAATAGAAAACCCAGTAAATGCCTTAAAAGACGCGAGCGTGCCATCTGCCTTGCGCTGCCGTGGATGAGGAGTGAAGGGAAGCACAGTAACCAAAAAAAAAGACGTAACTGGGGACGGCTTCTTGATGGCTGTTGTACCGTTTGAATGAGCAGCGTCAGTACTCTCCGAGGCAGAACGTGGCTCCAGTGAAACCTGTAGCCTGTACCGTGGAGTCGTGTTAGTTTGTTCTAACTGACCTTGTCTGTCACGGGGAGACGTTCCACTGGGAATGTCTTTCCACTGGAATGTCTTTCCAGCATGGCCTTTGTTCTGTTTCCTTGTACGTAACTATCTTACAAGTTCTCCTTAACTTTTTGAAAAGTGTCAAGAATTCCTCCCTCGGGGAGGTTGGGTGGTGTTGGGCGTAAGACTGGTGGCTAGGTGTGCTCACAGCCGTCAGCGCTGCTCTGTGCTTTATTGGAGGTCTGGGGGAGTCCTGCTGGGTTCCACACCTCCTCCCGTTCTCTGACCTCTGCGGTACTTTTCTGAGGAGATGCAGGTCTCTGCCACCTTGGCATACAAACAGACCCCTTCCTGATTCCCCCCCCTTTCTCCCACCAGGGTGGCATTCCTTAGAGCCCAACAATCCTCTTTTTGCGCCCAGCCCGCTCCTGAATAAACTGGTAGAAGAGAAGAAGCTGGGGAAGAAGACTGGAGAGGGGTTTTACAAATACAAATGACCTCGGGACCTCGAGGGGCGCGACAGCCTGCATACGCTCTCCAGCATCACCGTCTTACAGGTGAATTCTGTTGGCACCTGCCCGAGGCTGGCACGAGCCGCGCTCCCATCGCAACCCACCTCTGAACGGAGTGACCGCGCTAGTGAGCTGTCTCCCTGGTGAAAAGCTCAATGATGGGTTTCCTTCTAATTCTGAAAAGCTTTCCCTGTACAGTGCCTTCATGCAAATGTTGATTTTTTTCAGGTGCCGGACAGAATGACAAGCCGGTTTATGTATTTGAAACGTGATTATATTGATGGGAAAAATCCTAAAAATAGCCGCACTTTCTTACAAATAAAGTTTTCAGCAGCTGTGTCGTGGAAGCCGTGGCTGGCAGGCGATGCGGTGGGGGGTAGCCCGCTGGGTGGCAGTCTCTCCGCACCCTGCCCCACGCAGGACCTGGAGTTCTTGTGGGTGGGCATCAAGGGCGCCTTGAAGGGCCATGGTCTCAGCGTCACGCGGATCGCAAGCAGAAGCCCTGCCGGGCCAGGCTGTCACCCACTGCAGCGTTTTAGGGCAGAACTCGTGGGTTGAGTTGGGATTTTCCGGCCTTTTCAGTTCAGAGCCTCCTTTTGCTCCGTGCCGTAGGAGCGTCGCGGCGGGGGCTTTCTCTTCCGCAGGGCCTAATGCTTTTACTCGCTGGGCTCGGTGAAGGCTTCCATGTGCTTTCCAGAGCCCTGCAAAGGCGCTTCGTGCGCTGGCGGTGGATTTTAAGCGTGATTTTTACACAGGATTGGGTACTGCAGGGCTTGGAACCGGAGTCTGGGCTGTGCACGCAAATAGGCGTGTCAGGCTGTCGGAGGCACCCTCCGTTGTGCAGCTTGATTTCCTTGGAGCTGAGCAGAGCCTGGGTTTGCTCCTGGTGGGAGCGCTGCGAATTCCGCCTGTTCTGCACATCCAGCTGCAGAAGGAACTGCGGAGCGCGTGGGCGTGCGGGCTGGGGTTCCGTTCTGCTGAGTAGCAGCCTGCCTTCACTTTGTGTATCCTGGAGCTGCAAATAGTGCTTACACACGTTTTCTAATTAAAGAATGATGAATAATTTTTTCAGTTGCTCTTCCTCCCTCCCCAACATCTGATTCCGATTGCATATAAAGAAACCGAGGCCAACAGGTGGTAATTTCCCTGCACACGATAAGAATTGCTTTGTGTAGAGAACAAAAATTGTTGGTTTGTTGGGTCCTGGTTACAGATCATCTGATTTTGAGACACTTGACTTGAAAGAAAAGTGCTGAAGGAAGGAAATGATACTGTAGACAATCTTCTTCCTTTACTTCTACATTTCCTTTACTTATATTTGTGGATGCCCCATCCCTGGGAGAGTCCAGGGCCAGGCTGGATGAGGCTTGGAGCAACCTGGGCTATGGAAGGTGTCCCTGCCCATGGCAGGGGGTGGCACTGGGGGGGCTTTGAGGTCCCTTCCCACCCCAACCATTCCATGATTCTATGATTGTTAAATTGATTTTCCTAAAATACAGTCCACTTCTTCCACCTGAAGTCTTCAGAACTACCGTTTTCAGTAATGATCCAAAACATATTGCTGTTGTGTTTTAAAGATAGCTTCTTTTTTTTGCTTTTTACAAAAAACGTGGGCAGAATTAACTGGATGCCGCTCCCTTTATGCGGCAGATCATCTTTAATTTGTCAAGGCTTAGGTTTATGGCAAGGCAGAGGCTATTTAATAATACAGGTGCACAACATTTTTCAGTATTAAATCTGGTATTTTAGCAAAACAAACTTTCTCTAAAGCAGTGCTTTCCTTTCAGGAGCTCGGAGAGGTGCGGTACGTACGTCTGTAATGCACACGAGAAACCTGCACGGGGTGCTTGGCGTTTGGCTTGCTGTTTGAGAAGAGGTTTCTTTTTCCCTGTAGCAAATAGGCCACGCGGAGGTACTTCACGGGGGGGTGGGATGGTTTATTTGTCAGCATGGGGGGTGCTGTGCCAGGAGGGGCAGAGGTGAGGGCAAGGGCCAGAACGCCAAACGCTCTCCCTTGAATTGGGATGCGCAGTGGCAGTTGAGGCCACTGAATCAAGGTAAACCTTTCTGCACCTCAGTGAGGAGCGTGCAGAAACCTCTTCTAGGGCTCAAGATCATGATGAAACAGCTCCGGAGTAGGGTGTTGAATCAACGCTCCTGATTTGTACAAGAATTCCTGCAGCTTTGACAGCTTAAAGCTATCTCGGGGGCTTTAAGAATGAGTAATGAAGGAGTTGCCTGTCTCCCCCTTTCCCTCAATAAAGGTGGTTTCCTGGCCCGTGCCGTGCCTGGGATGCTGCGCGGAGGAACGTGAGCCGCCTCCCGCTGCATGCCGCGGGATGAGCAAAGGGCATGCTCCCGCCACTCAGTCCCTCAGGGCAGGCCGTGGTACCTTAGCCCTGCTCCCTCCAGTCCGCTCT